GTGGGATTGGGATGGTGGAAAATGAATTTTTAGAGTGAAGGTCTGCTTAAAAGGTAAACACACTTATATTATGACTTCCTTCTGATGGTGTCCAATGATTTTACCACCTGCCTCGGCTGTCAGGGACATTTGCTTGACATCTCTGCAAACCAGGGGATACATTTAAAAAACATTTCACCTAGCCATATGCAGTTCTCAATTAATTCCTATGCTCAGAAATAAAGAAATGCTATTTGTTTCTTTATTTTTTCTTACTTTTTTATCACTTTTTTTATTTATTTTCTACATTTTTAGCTTGTCGTTTACTTTTTTTTATTTTTTTATCATTTTCTATCTTATTATTGTTTATTTTTTATAATTATTTCATTATTATTTTTTAATATTATTTTTACTTTTTAATGACTTTTTTTTATTTTTTTCATTTAATTATTATTTCTTATAATTTTTTTAATTTTTATAATTGTTTTATTATTTTTTATCAATTTTCTTTCACTTAACTTTATTGCTATCACACAGGAGAAAACAATCCCCTGTGTGATAGCAATTGGAGGTGACAGGTTCTCTTTATTGACCCTGTCACCTCCAAAACAGGAGTTCTAGCACAGCACTGGGCTAGAACTCCTGTCACAGCTGAGATGGGAAGCGCACAGCTCTCCCCTCTCACTGTGTACATCGGCGGCAGGGACAGGAGACAGACTCGGCGGCCGGGAGGAGGACAGGGTCCCGAAGACAGAGCCAGCAGAGAGAGGTAGGTGGGGGGTAGGACGGAGTCCCGAAGACAAAGCCAGCAGAGAGAGGTAGGTGGGGGGGAGCGCGGCGAGTGGAGGACGGACAGCAGCACACATTTTACAAGTGATTGCACCGACATCGCCGCAATCACTTGTTAACGAGCGAGTGGATTCCCCCCACTACATTTAGACCTGCCTTCCCAAAGCAGAACTAAATGTAGAAGGCAACTTAACGTCCGTCGCCCGCAACTGTATGTCCCGGCCGTCGGGGGACTCCACACCGCTGCCGCCCAGAGGCCTGGCCTTGGTGGCCTTGTGGGGAATCCGGGCCTGTGCTCCTCGGCTCCATCTAGTGGCAGGAATTCTGTGTGAACGGCATTCATCCAGCATGTGGCTGGGCTGAAGTTTTTTAAAACAACCTCTACATTTTTTCTAACATTTTCAAGTGTGTTTGTTTTGGCAGAAATTTATTATTAATATTATTATTACTATTCAGGATTTATATCAACAGTTTGAGCAGCATTTTACAAAATGGAGGAAGACAGTTCAGTTACAATACAATTTCAGTACGGGAGGGTTAGGAGGTCCCTGCTCGTTAGTAGATGCAATGACATGACTGGTAGGGCAGAGGTTTATGTTTATAGTTATTTTTTTTTTAGTTTCAAAAGATTTTTATTTTTCATAGTTATTTGTGAAGCATATGTATACCTAATTACTAAAATCTCATATGAGCTTTAACATAAAGCGTTGTCTTTATTAAAATTATTCCTGTTGAACTGCCATGAAGGCCCTTGTTCAGTCACTTTCTGTTATGAGGTGCTCCTCGATAGAAAGCTGAGCAGAAATAAATAGGTGGTAGTTTTCCAAAGGCAAACATCCAAAATGTAAGTATAAATGTCTAATTTCTAAATATAAATGTATACAGGTTACTATAGTTCCAGTTTAAGTAATAATCAAGAAAACATTTGAGTAAATACACGCATTTGTAGAAAAATAAATATATCGCGAGATAGTACAAAACAATGTCCATATAATCAAATTTCAATGAGGCTACAAGAAGGGACAACTCAAGCAAGTAAAATGAACCAACAGATGGATCCAGACCGTCCCATGCAGGGAGGTCAAACATGAAATATGCTCAATAATAGAGTGTGCAGACTGATTTTTTTCTTTTAAATAACTGTCAGGTGGGAGATGACAGTATGCTCTGACACTAAGACACTAAGCAGTTTACAGTTGGGATAATAGCAACTTTCAAAAATTGATCTGGCACGTGCATCTGGGGGTTGGGAGGCAGGGGTGATGAGGGGGGATGGAGGAGGGGTGTTGGGGAAAGAGGGGGGGGTTGTTTGGGGAAGATGTTATGTATAATCGTTAATTGATGTATTAAGATTGTGCCCCCACTTCGGTGGGAGATGTTTGTAAGAATGTATGCCTACCTGAAAAATTAATAAATAGTATTTTTAAAAAAAAATTACAACAGGTGGTCAGAAACCGAAAGAAAAATTGAACACTAGCATAAACATGTGGGGTGGAGAGAAAGAGGGAGAGGGGGAGAGAAAGGGAGAGGGTAGAGGGAAAAAGCAAACACATATACAGGCAGGGAACATTCTGTTAGATGAAAGAGAAGAGAGGAAGATGGATGATGTGCTGCTGCTCTTTCTTTGTCCAATCAGAAAACTGGGGCATTCTAAAGGAAGCTGTGCTGCCACTGCAGTGAAAAACAAGCTGTGGCAGGGTATTACTGAATCACATAACTGGCTACACAGAATTACAAATCTCTTGGCAGCTAAAACAGTTCCCATATATGTATTTTATCTGCGTAATTAGTTGCTTAAAACTGTGGGATTTTATAGCTTCTCTAAGACATTTTTTTTTATTCCACTTGCACTGCTAATACGCAGTATACTTGCATTCACTCCATGAATAGCTTCTTTTACACATTCCATCCCCTCAGTTTATACACAGCAGGATTTTCAACGTTTCCACTTCTGGCTGCAGCGTATGGTCGCTGCTCTGCAGCAGGGGGAAAAGGAAATAGTCTTCAGCTTTTTGAAATACACTGTGCTTATAATAGAAAAAGAGAAGACTGCAGACAGCTGAACATTCAGCCTCTCACCTCGGCCACCTCAAACAACAACAAATCTTCTGATGAATCAGGAATATGGATCTCACTTACTCGGGACTGCAAAGCCACCGTTGATCCCAAACTCCCCCTGAAGCCTCAGCGTTATGGATATTTTCTGCTGAGTAAGTTTTCCATTGAGGAACTCCTGAAAAGTTAAACACCTCTATGTGTGCAGAGGCTTTGTGCTGACGCAGCTTGCAGTAGAGAGAAAAATGTCCATTTTTTGTAAATGCTAAGAAGGTTTTAGGAATCAATATCTGTCTTACTATAGGAACAGCATGGAGCTAAGATTTATTTTTTTCCACATTTATTTTTTTATTTTTTTCCACATAAGATGCTGTGATTTAATGACTGCTGGGCTATCTTGTTAGAAGAGCAGAGCTTCATCAGCAGGCTGTCAGAATATTTAATAACAGCAGGGTTCATCTGTTCTTTGGCTCTTTGGCTTTTATTTATTACTAGCCACACTGTCAATTCTAGGATGGGAATGTTTGTGGCTATTGACTACATTCTTATCTAAGTGTTAAATTTAAGAATAAATTCTTGGTTTCAGGAGTCTAGTTTTTGCATTTTCAAGTTTCGAACCCAAGTCATCCATTTTTGTTCCCTTGCAGCATATAGTTTATAAGATAATTACTAATTATGCTCAGAATAACTTATTGCATGGCTGAGATTCCAGTAACTGTTGAAGATGTAGTCAATAGTCTGACTATTGATAATGGCTGTTCGATCACTGGATTTCCACTGTATGCCAAATGGCTCCATATGGATCCTGATTTCAGTTTAAAATAATACAGAGAGGAAGGAGGGGGGTGGATAGGGTGACCCTAGAAAAGGGTTTTAAAGCTTTTTTACATGGGTGTCCAAAACTGAACTCATGTTTTTCTACAGAAGTGGGGTAAAAGGTGGTAGTACGATGAACGGCAGAATGGGACAATATATGGACTATTGGTCTTTATTTAAGCCCTCAGGGGCAGGGCCCTCCTTACCATCTTGTTTTGAATTGCATTGTAATGTCTTCCTTATATTGTGAAGCGCAAACTGTTGGCGCTATATAAATCCTGTATAATAATAATTTAAGGCTTTGTTAGGATTAGAAAAAAACTCAAATGCTTCATTTTTTTCTTGCACCATTCTGACATCAACAATATATGGACTATTGCGCTTTATGTAAGGTTGTATTAGGTTTATACAAGAAAAACTCAATTGCTGCATTTTCTTTTTGCCCCATTCTGACATTTACAATATATAGACTATTGCTTTGTATGTAAGGCTGTATTAGGTTTATACCTAAAAACTCAACTGCTGCATTTTTTTCTTGCACCATTCAGACACTGACAATACATGGACTATTGCTTTGTATGTAAGGCTGTACTAGGATTATAAAAGAAAAACTAAACTGCTGCATTTTTTTCTTGCACCATTCTGACATTGATCTATTCCATGAAGTTGGTACATACAACAGTTGTCTATGCATTGTTCTCTATCTCCTCCTGTCTCTTTTTACACAAAAGTAATAAATAGGGATATAAAGCAAAGGCACCATGTGCACGTAGTCTTAATGCATTTTTATTGTAGATTATACAGTCTTTGCACTTTTAACCATATCTGCATCTTTTTTTTGCTCTGTCCAGTATATCAACTGAAAGTATCAGTCACCAGTAACCAGAAATCACTTATGGAAGGAACCTTAGCATCTGGATTTAAAGTATATGTCAGCTACTACTGGAAGCTGCTTTAACAACGGCAACAATAAATCAAGAAGGTTTTACGAAGTCATTGCTTTCAAGTAATTAAACAGACAGGGCTCAGCTTTGGGACTCCCGTCAAGTTCTTACTTTAATGAAGCAGAAATCGAGCAGCTGCCTGGATTGGTTTGGCGGAGGCAGAATCCTGCCCCTCCAGAAATGTGCCTGATAGAATTCTATTGATCAGTGTGGTGTTCGCCTTACGCAGTAGTGAGTGGTGCTCTCTACCTGATCACTTGTTCAGTGAAGAGGTACATAGAGGATGTTCTTCCTTACCTGCACATCTGGACTATAAGCATCAGCACCACTAAGCTGAGAACTCTAATGTCAGATCACACCTCAAAGATACAACACAACTGGAATAATGGATCTTCTCAAAGCTTTTGTCAGCATTATCATTTTCTGGTTTCATTCTTGTAAAGGAACAAGACTGCAAAGTGGTAAGTACAATATATACACTTAGACAATGCATAGTATTTCTACATTTGATGCCGATCATATTGATTTCTCAACCTATACTTGTTGGATTTCACTTTTCCTTATGCAGCTGTGTCCTTATTCTAACATAAATATGTTTCTGAAAATCGAGTTTGATTAATATCGAATTTTTCCTTTGAATGTATTTATTGAGTTATTGATTGAACTACAGGTGCATTTATTGTTAAAGTGTCTGTAAACCCGATCACTAAAGCCTCATATAAGTATTAACATGAAGGTCTTTTGTTCAGTCTCATCCTGTTATAGGGTGACAACACTTTGTCCCTGTCCTATAATTGTTCTCCTGCGTTGTTACCCAGGCTTGCGTTGGAGACCACATGTGTTGCTTTTAACACCCATTTTGCAGGCATGGTCCACTGTTGTACCTAGTAGGAAAACCTGTTATAGGTTTTCCTACTATGTGCATACATATATACAGGAAGTGGCTGAAAAGAGGCTGCAGGAGTTAAGTAGCACTGAGATGCAACATATTGCAAAACCAATATTTTTATTAAAAATAAAAATTGATTGTATACGCCGTGCATTAGAAATCTAAATGTAATTAAGTTAGTATTTGCATCTACTTTGATGTTCTGCAAAATGCATTGCCTCATAGCAGCCACTATGAATTAATGTTCCATTTTGCCTGACCACTTATAATGTGTTACCCAATGGATGTGCTACCCCCGAGACCAACCCATTTTCTGAATATTAATCTCTGACCACTTATAACTCACGAAAGAGAAAATCCAGCAAGTTGATATGGGTTAGAATACTTTGCACATCTTCAGTGCCTCTTTGTACTGCCTCAGTAGGGTTTCCAAACACTTGTAATATGTAAATGCACCTTTGCTTGTGGATTGCCTTACTTACTGGCAGCAGTGACAGGTGCTGCATGCACCATTGTGAGAGTCTTTTGAGCAGCTCAGGTTATATTTAAGCATTTCACAGGCTCTCACAGTTCCCTCACAGATGTAATTTAGCTGGATGTGTCTCCGGTAGAATTCCCCTACAAATATGTGCTTGGCAGAGAAATCAGTGTATGAAATGAGTCACTAAATGTAGATTTGCACAACTTCAAAATAAATAAAAGTAAAATAAATAATCTCTAGATTATGTAACCTTCTAGGATCATTTAGTTGCATTATAGGTATTCTGTTTAATATTTAAAAAACAATCTGATCACCAACATTTTTTGGGCCACTAGTAATTGTGTACTATGAATATAATGCCGTGTGTGCAGCAGTGACCCCCTCGCAATTGGTGAGTGAAAATTGTGTGGGGGCGAGTGGAATGTCATCGATGGGACACTACCACCACGGCGATTGCTCACTTCTGTTCTCTCTTCTCCTCGGCGGCTGCAGCTGCCGAGGAGGAGAAGAGAGAACAGAAGCGAGCGATCGCCGCAGCGGTAGTGTCCCATCCCTGGTCCTGCCGGTGGCGCACCCCCTCGATGACATTCAGTTCGGCTGTCTTCCCTTCAGCTGTCTTCTGCAGCTTCCTCTGCCCACCTCAGCTGCCGTAGGCTGGAAGGAAGACTGCAGAGACACTGTTGGCCCGGCCAGAAAGTTATGCAGCAGGGGAAATAAAGTTTTATCTCTGTACATGGAGGATCTCTGTCCCACCCCCCACCACCACCACGAGGAGAAAGAAGAGGGCATCTGAATACCATCAACTAAGTGCACTGTAAGTCCATTTTTTTCTTCCTTACACCGCTGACCTCGGCACTGTGCGCCACACTGTCCTCTGCACTGTCTATCACACTGACCTATGTACTGTGCATCACACTGACCTCTGTACTGTGCGTTACATCACTGACTTCTGTACTGTGCGTTACACTGACCTTTGTACTGTATGTTACATTACTGACCTCTGTACTGCTGACCTCTGTACTGTGCATTACATCACATAAAGAAAACTATGGAATAAAAGATATAAATTACCACTGATGTCTATGGGAAACACAGAGAGATAAACAGCATTAAGGCTGTAATGGCACTTGTTAACCAGCAGTACATTTGGCTAATAAACTATAGGAAAGTGTGTGCAGAGATGGTGAGAGGAAACAGAAGATTTACTAGAGATGAGCAAACTTGAAAGGTTTGATCAGCTCTGGTGTTTCAAAATTTTTGCAAAAAATTGTGGCGAATGCTTTGGAAAGTCCCAAGGGTAGAAGGGTGGGGGAACTGGTGTCAGTGGCAGCTAAGGGTGCCCAGGCAATAGCTGAAGCAGATATAAGGCAGAAATTGCCTTTGGAGCAGCCTTTGGCTCCTTTCTCCCAGAAGGCTTTTAGGAATCTGAACAGGCAAAGATACCATTGAATTTACAATACATCCAAATTCAAAAAAATTTGATCCAAATCTATAAAATTTCTGCTATAGTCCAAGAAACATGAAACCATCTCTCCTGTAGGTCTGTGCAGTTAAAACGCATGAATATAGACCAGGCAGTATACAGTACATCCTGTAACAGCACATTACAGCAGTAATGTTTGCTAAAATAATTGCATGACAAGGGGCACCGCTTGAAAAGGTGCCATCATTTATATGTGCCTACAGCAGCATGTCATCTAAATACAGCTAATGCTAGCATAGCCACAGAAGTACTCATATACAGCATAATTGCACTCTGATTTATTGGGATTGGTTTACTAAAGGCAAATCTGCTCAGTTTGCAAGGGCATTTTCCCTTAGCTTAGAGAATGTGGTGAAAAATCACTTTGGAAAGAATACCCAATCACAAAGAATAATAAAATAAATATATTTTTGCTTGCGCAAGATTGCATGATGGAAGTCAGCAGAGCTTCATCCCATTCACTAAGCTAAGTGAAAACTCCCTTGCAAAGTGCACAGCCTGTTTGCACTGGTAAATCAATCCCGCTGACAAGACATTCTCTTTTACCACTGTAGATTGTAACTGGTTTAACTAAGGTCATAGGTATAGCAAAAATGAAAAAATGCAACCAAACTAGGCTTCAGCAATTAATATATATGTGAGTTTCCCAAACTGATTGTAAAAGTAAGGCTACACATATGACAATTTAATCAGCCCTGTCCACTAAAGTAGATACATTTCTCTCTACATAGGTTTCCAGTCCAAGTTTATAAATTAGGGCTTTGGCTTAGTTGACTCACTTATTATATTTTATTATTATAGTACCTTTTTCCAACATCTGGTTTTCTCTTCTATCCTTTTACCTTCATTCAGTGGCAGACCTAAGGAACTAAAGGGCCCTGGTGCAAGATTTATTCTCGAGGCCCCCTCTTCCTGCTCCCAAGAGGGGGTGCCGGGAACTGGATCTCACTGGCCCCCTAACCCCCCCAGCTCTCTCTACACAAAAGTAGCTTACACTCTAATGTCCCCCCATAGTCACACACTATTATTTCACATTCATATAGCTCTGACATATACCGTAGTACTGTACAGAGGAGCTTACACTCTAATACAGAATGCCATCATCTGTAGAAGACTACAAAGCCCAGCAATACATTATAAAGCAATGCAGAATAATAGTATATGAATTTGGTACATACTCTGTTCTGCCTCTCTGCTCTGGAATGCCGGCCTGATGTCTTGTGCAGAGGGTCTCAGGAGGGATGCGGCGGGCCGCAGGAGGGGTACAGAAGGTCTCAAGAGGGGGAGCTGTGTGGGCGGCAAATCGCTGTAAGCAGGTGCCAGGTGGTTCTACGCAGGACATAACGCAACAGAATCAATTTGAAAATGTTTATTTCTGAGCTGTGGTCAGTTATAAGGCAGAGTGCAGAGGTCAGCGGTGTAACGCAGAGTGCAGAGGTCAGCGGTGTAACGCAGAGTGCAGATGTCAGCGGTGTAACGCAGAGTGCAGAGGTCAGCGGTGTAACGCAGAGTACAGAGCTCAGCGATGTGACGCAGAGTACAGAGCTCAGTGTTGTGATGCAGAGTACAGAGCTCAGCGGTGTGACGCAGAGTACAGAGCTCAGCGGTGTGACGCAGAGTACAGAGCTCAGCGGTGTGACGCAGAGTACAGAGGTTAGGGTGTGACGCACAGGGCAGACGTCAGGATGTGACGCACAGTACAGAGGTCAGCAGATGTGACGGAGAAAGAACAAGAACTTACAGTGCACACAGATGTTATACAGGTGCTCTGCCCTCTTTCTCTCCAGGTGGTGGTGGGGGGGTGTCCTGCATTTACTATGTTGAAGCCCCCAGTAGACTCCTTGTGTCTTCTCCCCAGCCAGGTCCCGCTCTCCTGTAGTCTCCAGCCAATAGTGATGCTGCAGTCTTCCTCCTATAGCAGCTGAAGTGGGCAGAGGAAGCTGCAGGTGGCCGCCGGGCAGCCCGATCACTGAAGCAGAGACATAGTAGTGACAGCTGAACAGATTCTTCTCCTCCTTGGCCGCTCTGTGGCTGCAGCGACTGATGAGGAGAAGAATCTGTTCAGCTGTCACTACCATGTGCCTGCTTCAGTGATCAAGAGTGGCAATCATTCTTCTCAGCTCTCTCGTCTCAATGAGAGGAGAGAGCTGAGAAGAGTGATCGCTGCTGCCGCTGCCTACAATCCCCGGCCTACAATCCCCGGGACGTACCTCAGTGGGCCCCTCAAACACCTTGTGCCCCAGGGGGGCTGCACCGCCAGTAGTTCCGCCCCTGCCTTCATTGCTTATTCACTCTCATTCTCTCACATAGTTCTTTCTTTTCATACTATTTTCATTGTTGTCTCTCCACAATTCTTTCTTCTTCCTCTTTTCCTAGCACAGTTTTTTTAATTCTCTTAGATATCGAGGAAGTGGTTGGGGTTCACAATGAAAATACAGCTGACTGCCTTAATTATAGGTTTCGACGTTTCCCTGCAAATGATATGTTACTGTATTTCTGGCTCCTGTATTCTGCCAGTGTGTTGTGAAACTTGCTGATACATATTTTACATTGTTTGATCTATATACATTTTTTCTATTGTTTTATTTACAAAAACAGTAATAAGTTTAGATTTCCTATGCCGTCTGTCCTAATCTTTAAAAATCAATTTGGGCTCTGTAATACGTTTGACAAGGTCATAATTGTGATCCAGATAAAGTTCTCTAGCTTCCGAGTGAGGTTCCTAAAGCACACACACCAAGCTCTTTACCTTTTGGCATTGCCTGAACAGAAGCCATTGTAGCCCCTACAACAATGCTTTGGTATGTGGTCATGTGACTGACGCCAGAAGGCACCAGGAGAATAAATTGCAGAAAATATAAGCACTGCAGTGCTTCCCATTACCATTTATAGATTTGGATTTTTCTTTTCCGTGTTACCATGACCAAGTTCTCATCTTTGATGCACTTCTGGCTTTACTTTTTCTGTGGCTCCATGTCTAAAATAAGTACCAGAGCTGTGTTACCAGGGTTTGCACATACATACTAGGAGTCAGTTACATTTGAAGTGTAGGAGGAGACCCAAGTACCCGGAAGAACCGCACACAAGCACAGAAAGAACATGCAGATTGTGTCATGGCTTGGATTCAAACCAAGGACCTCAGTGTTGCATAGCATAAGTGCTAACTACTAAGGAACTGTGCTTCCCCCTTCTGGTCATTTAAAGAGCAATTTTTTGTCACTTTGTTGTTTTTATATTTATTGTCAAACTAAATTTTGTTAAATATGTTTCCGTCTTCATTTTATTAAGTACAACCTTTCAGAGCACCCATTCTTCCAGAAAAGATATCTCAGCACCTCTTTTACTATTTATGAATGTAAGGAATCAAGCCAGTTTGGATAGGGTTGTGCTTTTAATATAGGTCTTTTTCAGATTCATGGTTTAAATGGCCACACACAGAGGTACAAAGATTCAAGAATACCTGAAATTTGGAAGAACAGGGACTCCAAAAAAGATAAATCATTGTAGCTGGGTTACATTATATGGTCATTTTAAATACAAATAATGTTTATTGGACTTTTTGTCTGTAACAAAATGTTATGGAATTGATTTACTACAGCAGTAGAGCATGTTCATGTTGCAAAAGGAATTTTCACCTAGCTTAGTGAATGAGGTCAAGCTAAGTGAAAAAATCACCTAACATCCATATGTTACTCGGCATTATGTCAAAATAAATGGGTTAGTAACACACCCTAATGTCCTAGAATCACAGATGATGTGTGTCGCCTTAGTATGTCGGGGTACCATTCAAAATTAATGTTATGTGTGGTACCGCAACACAAAAGTGTGATTCAGGACATCATAAAGCGATAAAAACTGTTACATCAAGCATGTCAAAGGCCAAAACTCCAGCAAAACATTACTTCATGGCAAATAGTAAAGTAATGATTGGAAATCTGTGCTCACTGAAAGTAAACTATAGCTTCAATTTGAAAACAGATAATTTGGATGCTGTTGGTTGCAATATCAATATAAGACTAGGAACAGGATACATAACTGGGGGAATGTGGATTACTGTGCTTGTCTCTCAGGAGATTTGTAAATCTGACAGGTACAAAAATACAAAAATTAGAGAGGTGTTGAATGGAGTGTTATTATACTAATGATACTGTGTATGTTTTCTATTTTACTGCTACTACCAGAGGATAAGATGCATAAACCAGGTATGTTTCTATTAACTAAGAGTTTCAAGATTGGAATGCAAATTGAAAAACTCAACTGTTGACAGAGGTTCTGATACTTTGTGATGGTTGTATATACTCATAAATAAGAATATGGACACTGGCACGCCAGATGCAGATCAGATGCGTCTATTTATTAACGTAAATGCAGCATATCACACTTGGTGCAACATTTCAGGGTCTCGCAGGAACCCAAAACATTGCACCAAGTGTGATATGCTGCATTTACGTCAATAAATAGACACATCTGATCTGCATCTGGAGTGCCAGTGTTCATATTGTTATTTATGCATAGAGACGGTTGTCATTCGTCAACCACCGTCGCACCCACCTAATCTACATGGAAGAAGCGATCAGGAGTGAGATGGGTACATGGATTGTAGGGTGTATGTACTCAATCACGTTGTTTGTGATCAGGCAATAATCTGTTACAAATGAACCTATGGGGTCTATTAACGAAGCAGCCGAAGGATCTAGCCGTAGCTTAGGCTGATCCTTCGGCTAGCTTTGGCCCCAGGACCCCTTCGGTTCAGTAGAACCGAAGGGCTGCTGTACGGGCTATTCACTATATCCCGTACAGCTCCCGAAGTCAGCTGGGGGGGGGTTAGTCGAGCCGAAGGCCGACAGCCTGCTTCTGACAGCTGGGCGGAGCCAGCCGTGATCTTACGGCTGGCTTCGGCCACTTGCAGAGAGATCAGCATCCCTGGTTACCAGCTAACCAGGGACACTGATCTCCAGACAGCCTAACTCTCCCGGGCACTCCGGGAGTCTCCCACTCCCGGACGCCCAGGAGAGAAACACTGCTTTTTCTTTTTTATTCTAAAACAGAGCTGTTGGCTGACGTCAGAATAACAAAACAAAAAAATTTCACCATAGGAATGCCTTGCTAGATTCCTATTGGCTATTTCAATTTGCAATAGCCAATAGCAAACTAGCTATTGCACCCACCCACTGCTGCAGTTCTCCATCAGGTCCCCACTAGTGATTGACAGCAGCAGAGGGCAGGTACAATAGCTAGTGTGCTATTGGCTATTGCAAATTGAAATAGCCAATAGGAATCTAGCAATGCATTCCTATGGTGAAAAAAAATTTCTTCTTTTTTTGTGACGGCAGCAAAACTGCCGGCCAATAGAAAACAGTTGGGTGGAGCTAGCTGTCACTGCTAGCTCCGCACAATCATTTTCTATTTATTTTTTTCCACTTTTTTAACTATTTTTCTGTTCTGCTCGGTCCCACAGCGGGACCGAGCAGAACAGCCGAGCCGGATGCCGCTCCGGGATTTCAGCTATTCACTCACCG